GTGTTATAACACTACACCATATAGTTTGTTCAGTTTTTGTTTATCTGGTGTCTGAAGAGGCGGTCATATATTTTTAAGTTTGTGTTCTAACACTACACTATATAGTTCGTTCAGTTTTTGTTTATCTGGTGTCTGAAGAGGCGGTTATATATTTTTTACTAGTAAATTTTGTTTTACCTTTTCTTTCAGGAGACAGATGCCTCTAAGTCTCGCAAATCAGATCACTATAGAGAAGACGCCCAGTTATTACGTCACACCTGGAGTGGCGGCACGTGTCTACAATATGTCGCGTCACGTGAAACTAATCATTGCTGTCCGTGATCCGGTGACTCGAGCTATTTCTGATTACACACAAGGCATTAGTAAACAAAATGGCGGCAAAACGTTCGAGGATTTGGCTTTTATGAACGTGACCACGGGCCTCGTGGACACTTCTTGGAGCGCCATCAGGATTGGACTGTATGCCAAATACTTACAAAGATGGCGTCGGTTCTTCCCAACTTCCCAGTTCCACATCGTGAGCGGAGAAAAGTTGATCTCTGATCCTGTGGGTGAAATAGCCAAAGTGCAAGAGTTTCTTGGGTTGTCTAAGCTGGTGGATGACTCTTGTTTCTATTTTAATGAAACAAAAGGATTTCCTTGCATGAGAAGCCGAACCAAGACTCATTGTCTCGATAAAACAAAAGGTCGAGTCCATCCTAAAATTAACCCTATTTCCATTCACAGATTACAAGATTTTTACAGACCGTTTAATTTGAAATTTTACTTCTTTGTTGGGCAAAATTTTGGTTGGACCTAAAAAATGATCTTCGTATAAACCGCATCTGTGATAAACATTAAGCTGTGCTTATAATAATGATCGTAACAACTGTTTGTGTAAAAACAGTAACCTTACTGAATACTTGTTTTACGCTAAGCTGTACATAAAATTTAGGTGTAAATTTGTTTTGTTTCGTTGTTGATGAGGACAAAGCTATAAAATGTGTTATTTATGTTCTCCCACACCACGACTTTTAGCCTCGTAAGCCTAGTTTTACCGCTGGGCCATTGGGGGAGGGGATAAGGTTTGTTTTGTGAAAGTTCATTTATAGCTAACCGAGGGCTATTTGTGCTAGCCGTCCTTAATTTTGAAGTGATAGACAAGAGGTAAAGCAACTAGTCAACACCACCCACCACCAACTCTTGGGCTACTCTTTTACAAACAAATAGTGGGATTGACCGTCGCATGGTAACACCCCCATGGCTGAAAGGACGATAATGTTTTATGACAGGATTCAAACCCGTGGTCCGCAGAGTAGAGTGTTAGTCAAGTACTCTAACCACCAGGCCAAGCGAAGCTGAGGGGAAGTGTAAATAACTGACATTGTTATTATTATATCTATGTCCACGTGAGTGTTTCGAATTAGATTTCTTGAAGAAAGAGCTAGCTGACCCATTAGGACCACAAGTTGGTTCTTTGAGAGATAAGAAACTTTGGAGAACCAAATTTTATGAACAGCTTTTCTAATTATTTAAGCAACCACAGGAACCTAATGTTGACTTTGTAGGACAAAATATCATTAGGTATTCTATAACTGAGGGGGGGGGGGTACGTTCATGCTTCTTAACAATGATCCTCTATCGATGTTCCAATGATATGAGGGTCCTTTGTCCTCTCCTCTGTCTTACAGCTTTCCACATTTGGCTAAAGTCTTTGGTCCATGGTTTCAACTCCTTTACTTAAACACACCAAAAGAACAACAGTCTATTGGAGAACATAACAGGGATAAGTACGATAAATATTTACAGTTTGTACTGTAAATAACAGTTTATATTAAGGTTGGGAGAAGAACAATCTTGGGGGGAGGGCGCACCAGGTAGGCGCTGGCTGGGCACCACACCTTCCTGCTCCTTATCCACACTCCCGTGATACTTGTCCTGCTTTATCAACTTTGTAAACGAGTTTGTTTACTGTTTTGTTAATGGTACCAGAATATATGCCCTACTTTATTGCAATGGCTTTTCTGAGTCAGAGGATTCTCTATCGTGATTATAACTCTCACCTTGCGAATGACAACCTTGATTATGGATGATTTACTGTGTGGGAAGAGATTGTTGCTCTACTGGGCGAGGTTATCTGTATCCATGACGATCATTGGAGTCTTCCTTCTTCTGTGAAATGCAGTGTTCCTTAGCTTTCACTTACCCCTCAGCCACCAATTAGATTTGGGAAACATTTTACAAACCTGGTCAGTGGAGTTAGCTTTCATATGCAAGTCTTAAGCCAGCCAATCACGTGCCCGCCATTTGTAGGGCTGCGGATCGTAGGGTATAGGGTTCGAAACGTGAAAACACCTACCATTGTCAGCCATCTCGTTATAAAACTGGCAGTCATCGCGATATTTGGTTCAAAGAGCCACAGAAAGCTAATGATTGGTTGTTTTCACTCTGGTCAGTAGTTGAAAATTAGAGACGGTTGTACCTGAATCCGAGGGGTCAGTGGCCTGGAAGTTTAGTCAGGTTGAAAGTTCTAGTCTCTCAACTAAGGTGATATAGTCTGTTCAAGTCTTGTTAGATTAACAAAGAAGCCGCTGAACGGAAACAGACATAAAAAGACACACGACTTACATAAAAATAAAAACTTGACTATTGTAATAAAGATGACCATGTACTCTTGTTTGAACTGTGTTTATTAAAACGTAGTTGTACCCGGATTTATACTTCAAATGATCACATGAACATGTTAATAGCTGTATGTGTGCTTGACATGAAAACAGTGGCATGTTAAAATGTTTGTATACTGTACATGTAAATGTTATCATGTTAAAACGTGGTTAAAATGGATGTATGATCGACTTGAAAAATTTAGTAATAGAATTAAACACGTCTTACATGAACGCATTAATGATGTTTTAGTATTACAGATCCGATCGTTTTGTATTTACTGATATAATGAAACTGAATTTGATTGATTTTGACTTGTGAGGCTTATTTCAAACTTGGTGTGATCGAGTTCTTTAAATAAAACACTTTATCTGCTAGTTATATGCTTTCCACTTGGCAGAGATATACAGTAAAACTTGAAGAATTAATGAGGATAAGAATACATACAGGAAGTATTCCCGAGAAGTGTAGAACAATGTAGAATACATACAGGAAGTATTCCCGAGAAGTGTAGAACAATGTAGAATACATACAGGAAGTATTCCCGAGAAGTGTAGAACAATGTAGAAGACATACAGAAAGTATTCCCGAGAAGTGTAGAACAATGTAGAAGACATACAGAAAGTATT